AAAGAATACAAAATTACAAATTCAAAATGAGATATGAAAGTCAAGTGGAATAAATAGGAAATAGTTACAAACATGGTGTGAACAGTCTATACCAATTGTCAGTGGATAAAAAAGGCTCAATTGTGTATTGTCTGCAAGAAATCCACTTTAAACATATAAAGACACAGGCAAGTTAAAGGTAAAAGGGTGAAGAAAGCTATGCCATGCTAATGCTAATCAAAAGAAAGCTGAAATAGCTATGTTAATTCAACTGAAGCAGATTCCAGAAAAAGAGTACATATCAGGGATGATGAGAAGGCATTACATAATGTTAAAGGAATCAATTCTCTGGGAAGACATAACAATACTTAATGTGTGTGCACTTATCAGAGCATCAAAATACACAAGGCAAAAACTGATAGAACTGCAAGGAAAAATAGATAAACCCACTACTATAATTGAAGACTTCACATCACTTTTCTAGTAATGAGTAGATCCAGCAGGCAGACAATGAACAAGGATATAGTTGAACTGAACGACAACATCAATAAACTTGATCTAATTGACAAGCAATACGTCATCCAACAACAGCAGAATACAGATTCTTTTCAAGTTCACATGGAACATTCACCAAGAGAGACCACATTCTAGGTCATAAAACATACCTTAACAAATTTAAAAGACTAGAAATCATACAGAGTATATTCTCAGACCACAGTAGAATTAGACTAGAAATCAATAACAGCTGATGAAAGAAATAGAAAAGATTTAAATAAATGGAAAGATATTCCATGTTCATAAGTAGGGAGAATCAATATTGTTAAGATGTCAATTCTTCCCAATGTGATTTCTAGATTAAACACAATTTCAGTCAAAATCCCAGCAAGATAGTTGGTGGAAATCAACAAACTGATTCTAGAGTTTATATGAAAAGGTAAGAGACATAGAATAACCAACTTGATACTGAAAAAGACTAACAAAATTGGAAAACTCACACTACCAGACTTAAAGACTTACTATAAAGCTATAATAAGAAAGATGGCATGATATTAGTGAAAGAATAGATACATAGATCAATGGAAGAGAAGAGAGAGTCCAGAAATAGACGTATACAAATGTAGTTAACTCATCTTTGACAAAGAGACAAAGGAAAATCAATGAAGAAAAGGTAGTCTTTTCCAAAAATGGTATTGAAATAATTGGACATCCATTTGCAAAAAAAAAAAAAAAAAAATTCTGGACACAGACCTTACACCTTTCATGAAAATTAACTCAAAATGGATCATAGACATAAATGTAAAATGCAAGACTATAAAATTTCTAGAAGAAAACATAGGAGAAAATCTATGTGATCTCGGGTATGGCAATGACTTTTTAGCTACAACACCAAAAATATGATCCATGAAAGAAAAAATTATAAGTTGGACATTATTAAAATTAAACATTGTGCTCTGCAGAAGACTGTTGAAAGAATGAAAAGACAAGCCATAGACGGGGGGTGGGGGGGAATATTTGTAAAACACATATCTAACAAATGACCTTTATCCAAAATATACAAACTCAACAATAAGAAAACAAACAACTCAATATAAATGTGGGCAAAAGATCTGAAAAGATACTTAACCAAAGAAGATATATGAATGGAAAGTAAGCAAATAAAAGATGCTCAACCTCATTTGTTATTAAGGAATTACAAATTAAAACAATAAGGAGATACTTCTGCCCACGGTATATTAGAATGACTAATATCAAAACAAAACAAAACAAAACAAAACTGACAGTGTTAAATGCTGGTGAAGATACAGAGGTCTCATGTATCGATGATGGGAATGCAAAACGCTACAGCCACTTTGGAAGACAGTTTGGCAGTTTCTTACAAAGCTAAACATAGTCCTACTATGCAATCCAGCAATCATGCTCCTACATATTTACCCAGTTGATTTAAAATTTATGTGTGCGCAAAAACCTGCACATAATGTTTATAGTAGCTTTATTTATAATCAACAAAATTAGAAGAAATCGAAATGTCCTTCAATAGATGAATGAATAATCAAACTGTAGCACATTCATACAATGGTATCTGAAAGACACAGGATTGCAAAGTTGGTCTACTAGATGCTAGTGGTGTTTGTTGCCACAGGGTGGTGGTTACTCAAGCTCTCGAACGGTTTGAAATATCCCTTAGAACTTAGTTCCCAAAATAAAATTCAAACCAGACACTAAACTTCTCCGGCCAGCACACTGAAAGACAGAAACTTTTTATTTTTTTTTGAAAGAGTTAGATTTCTCACCATGTAGTTTCTACTATAAAACATGGTCATATTTTTGCCAGGCTAAACCACAGAAACAAACTCAGGGGAACCACGTGTCCCCATTTTGCCTGGGACACCCCAATTTTACACTGTTGTCTCATGCAATTATTAATAGCAATCCTTTTTACTTTCAAAAATGTATAGTTTGGACAATACGGAACTTCTTAAATTTTTCTCCAAACAAGTCATCTTGGGTCACCCCAGCTTTTTACATCCTGAATTAGTAAAATTTCCATCTTTTACATATTTCGATATGGGTCAGTGATTTCATCACTTTGCCCAAAAATCAAATGTCTTTTTCAATGACATCTGTTTTAATTGCACCTGCCCTAAGGGAAGTCCTTTTTTGGTTTGTTTTGCTTTGTTCAACACAAAAATGTCTAACTTTAAGGGTTACTACTGTGTTTGGGAGTCTGAAAGATTTAAACAAAGAAACAAACAGAAACCAACAACAAAAAAGCTCCACCTTATTCTTTCTCTTGCAAGTCATGTTCATTGCCACAAGGTGGTGATTTACTCAAGGGAAATCTTTCTGTGATCCAAATTGGTCACCAGGAACATTTTATTTATGAACACACTTCAGAACTGTGATGTGACTGTGTAAAACAAGAATGAACTATTCATTTTAAGAGTATATCACAAACCAACGCAGACTCTGTATCTGCCCAGATAACTCCCAGTTTTTCATCTTAGATAAGAATATAAACCTACATCTTTGTCTAGGCTTCCACATATTGTGTTTTCTTTTTCTATAAGTAACAGCATGCCCCTACTGTGAGGTAGGCAGCTGGGAGTAGTAGAACTGGGGGAGCTTTAGAGTCAAACAGACTTGGATTGCCTGCTGGACCTACCACCTACTACCTCTGAGAGTTTCAGTACATTACGAAGCTTCCTCAGCCTCAATTTCCTTTCCCTGTCTTTAAAATGGGAAACATAATACATATCTTTCAGAAAAATTATGGAGAGAGATAGCATCTTTTAAAGTGTCTTGTGAAGCCATTGTTGTTGTCAAGGTATCATGTTCTCTTTTTAGAGTGTGGGATCGCTGCTGGGAGGCAGGTCCCAGTTAAGGATCACATGGATCACCCCTTGCCTTACAGCCAGATGGAAACATTTGACTAGTTTTCCTCAGTCCAGGTGGCGGTGATGAGTTTTACTTCTGGGCCCAAATGGTGAAGTATCAGATGTGGAATCTACACATAGTCTGTCTCCATCCGCCAGTTTGGTGTTACCAGGATGGCTTAATGACCAGAAGTTTTAAGATTTTGATGAAATTTAATTGATAAATTTTTTAATTCTATGTTTGTTGTTTTTTTGCCCTGTCTTATAAATCTTTTCCGAAAGAATCTTTGCCTCCCCCTGGACAGGAAGATATTCCCCTTATTTTCTTCTAGGAATTATTACAAAGTTATAATACTAGGAATTATAAAAATTATGCTGAAAGAAATTATTTAAAATTTATATTTAGGCCTATGATCCAACTCAAATTCATTTTTAATTGCAATTTTTACTGAGATCATTGAAGATGTGCACAGTTGTAAGGATAACACAGACAAATTCTTTGTACACTGCTCAGTTTCCCCCAATGGTAACATTTTGCAAAACTATAGTATAATATCACAATCAGGATATTGACATCAATGTAATTTACCCAACAGATTTCCCCAGTTTTAGTTGTACTCTGTGTGTGTGCACGCGTGTGTGTGTGTGCACGTGTGTGTGTGTGTGTGTGTGTATTACAGTCTATAAAATTCTATCACCTGTGTAGGTTCATGTAGCCACCACCATAGTCAAATTCCTGAACACAGGAATCTTTGTGGTCCCCAACACCCCATCCCCAACCTCTGGCAACTACTATTCTATCCTCCATTTCTAAAATTTTGTCATTTAAAAAATGATATATAAATCATATCATATAGTATGTCACCTTTTGGGATTGGCTTTTCTTCACTCAGCATAATTCTCTGAAGAGTTTTCTAAGTTGTTGCATGTATTTCATTCCTATTTTATTGCTGCATATTCTACAGTATGAGTGTACATACCACAGTTTGCTTCAAATAAATTTTGTGTGGGATGTGAGTTAGGGGTCAAGATTCATTTTTATTTTTTTCATGTGGCTTTCTGGTTGTGGAGCACCATTTGTTGAAAAGACTTTCTTTTACTCCATTGGTTCGCTTTGGCACCTTTGTCAGATATCAATCGGTTGTAAATGTCAGTTTCTTTCAGGACTCTTTAGTCTATTCCATTTATCTATTTGTCTATCCTTATGCCACTACTCCACTGTCTTGATTACTCTAGTTGCATGGTTGTGGACTGAGTGTTTGTGTCCCCTTGAAATTTATATGTTGAAACCCAAATG